CATCACCGATCATCATCATCATCATCTACCCGTGCAACCTCCCCTTTTCTTAACCCTACCTACTACGCTACCACCCAATCAATCATAGATAGGACCGCTCCACCCTCGATTTACTTCATTAGTCATTTAGTCCTTTTTTATTTTTCTCTTTTTCAAAATTAATTTGAAATTCTTGTAATTCGAAAAGAAGTAATTAATTATTAATTCTTTTTTGAAATTTTTGAAATACGTAGAATCAATTATTCTTTCTCGACATTTCTTCCTCGAACGTCGAAAATAATTTTAATTAATTCTTTTAAAATTTTCGGAATTTTTTGTAATTCAAAAATATTTTAGAATTTAATTAAACTCTTTTTTTTTTGGTAATCCGAAAATACATTAGAATTAATTAATCCTTTTGCAACATTTATTTGAAATTCAAAAGTAATATTCATTAATTCTTTTTTATTTTTTTGGAAATACGTTCGAATTAATGAATTTTTTTTCAACCTTTCTTTTTTTGAACAATTTTAATTAATTCCTTTTCTCATATATTTTTCATAAAATTCCTTTTCAATTTTTTTCTTGAAATTCGAAAATACATCATGATCAATTAATTCTTTTTCGCAGTTCTGTTTTAAAATTCTATTTCGAAATTCCCTTTTCGGAAGTACTTTTCTTTTAAAAATGTCATTTTGAACTCCTTAATTAAGTTTGACTAAATCTAATTAATTCACGAATGAATTAATCTCTTTACTCAGAGTTAATCATCCTTTTTTGAAATTCCAACATCTTTCTTCGTTGTAAAATTCTACCCCAAACATAAATCCGAATAAATTTAGTCATAAATTCAGAATTTATTTTTCTTCTCAGAATTAAATATTTTTTTTCTTCATTTGAAAATTCCTGAAAAATCCATTCTCTCTCTCAAACCTTTTTTGAATTTTCTTGAAAAATACACTCGAGAATTAATTTCGAATAAATTTCATTCCGAAATAATTTATTCAAAATTAATTCTTCATTTGTGAATTCTATTTGGAAATTATCTTCATCGCTAAATCAATTGATGTTACTCTATCCTTGTAAATAGGACACCCCCCCCCCCCCGGGCATGACACGCACAACTAGGGACTCTCAACGCGCTGCCACCGACACCGCCGCTGCTGCCGCCGCCGACACCTCATCTTTTGTTAACACCTCATCCGCCGCTACCACCGCTTCCTCCCCCACCATGGCCCAATCATCCAGCATTGATATGTCTGGCATCCGCACCGACTCCGTCGACAGCATTGCCTGCAACCTTGCAGGCGAGCAAACACCAGCACCCGATGCCGCCACCGATCTCGCGACACTCCTCCGCATGGTGACATCCATCCACTCATCCATCGACGACATCAAAACATCCGTCTCCACCATCTCCGCTCGCGTGACCGCCATCGAAGATCAAACCCCCGCCATCCAGATTGTCACCACCACGTACCCCCACCCCACCTTGGGTGCCACCACCCTTCCTCCATCCTCCGCCTCCACATCCACCGCCCTCTTCGCTAGCACGTCATCCACACCCCCGCCTTCATCCACCACCACCTCCAGCATGGTCACCCCACCACCCAAGACGACAACCCCCGCCGTCACACAGTCGTGGACCATTCTCCCTCAGTCAAAACGTCTATTGACTTCATCCACTATCACTTCCACCCACCCCACCTATCCCCAGATCACTTCCGCACCACACGTCCTGTACCTCGCTCTTCCACTACTTCCACCGAACGCGCTTATTCCCGCCAACCCCGTCGACGATTTCACCCGGATCTACTCTTCCTCCCCTACCCTTGACTTCAACATCCTTGCTGCTACTGCCACCAAAGTCGGCAATATCCCTCCATCATTCTGCGTCAACGAGATCCCCACCTTCTTCGGCCAACCCCATGAGGACGTCTTCCTCTTTCTCACCAAACTCCAGCAAGCCTTCTCCCTCCACAGCGACCCAGTCGTCCACTGGCTCCCCATTGTCGGCACCAAACTGGTGGATGGCGCCGCGCGATGGTGGTACACAAAAATGACTAACCGCCAGCATGCCGGTCTTCCACCTCACTCCTTCCTTGAGTGGGCCACCCTGATCACCTCCACCTTTCGCCCACAGAAGACAGTTGACGACCTCGACCAATTTTGTCGGCTCCGTCAAAACGGGCCGACCGACCGCTTTGTTCAATATGCCCACTGTCTTCGTCAACACATCTCGATCGACGTCATCATTGACACCGCATTCATCTCCTGCGTCAAGCGGGTACGCCACAAGGACCTACCGGCAGCCCTTGTCGGTGAGCCACCCATGACCCTCGCCGACCTCCTCACTCGTGCTCTCCAAATCGACCGCATCTTCTCCCCCTACAAGACCGCACTCAGATCGACCCCTCCACGCCCTCGCTTCTTCCACAGCATCGCCTTCGAGGACACCATCTCCACCATCTCCTCGGACGAGTTCACCGCCCCCGACCCCGACACCCTCTCCGACCCACTAGACACCTCATCGCTCTCCTCTGACGAACTCTCCGCCATCCACCTCATGCGGATGGAAACGAGAGAACGCACCAGCCGTCCTCCTATAAACATCCATCCAACCCGTCTAACGAAACTGACGTTGGAAGAGCGAACCTACCTCCAAGCTAAGGGTGGATGTTTTCGGTGCCGACAGTTAGGACATCGACAGACAAACTGTCCAAATACCGGACAGTTCACACGTCCGGCACCCAAGTCCGCAACCCTCCGACCCGCCACTTCCGCATCCGCCACTCCCGGTCCCTCCTCCACTTGAACACTGTCCCCATGATCACCATGAACCCACCCCGTCATTGATGACTAGTCTGTCAGCCATCCCATCGGTGATGACCTCTATTCCACAGATGGCCCAGTTGACATCGACAATTCGTCTGCCCCCCCCCCTCCCCGGTGACGCACTTCCCACCGGACGATCCCCAGGCATCACCTGGCGCCGCTCCCACTGGTACATGTTCCTCTACCCTTCTCCTGAATCCATTCTCCGTCACCTTCTCTGATGTTGTTGAGGAACAAGCCCGACGTGATCGGCTTGTCAGATTAGGCACCGAACAACGCCGCCTCAACGCCATCATCTCCACCGCCTGCTCATCCCGCTTCCACCTCAAGTTTATCGCTGCCACCCTTGGTGCGTCTACAACCAAGTTCGGGGCCCTCCTTGACATTGGAGCTATCGGTAACTTTATCACTGACGCGTGTGTCCGAAAAGTCGGTCTCTCCTCTATCGGATACGACTCCCTGATTACCATTTGTCTAGGGGACAAAGATACCGCCGTCGTAGTAGACCGCACGGTTCCCGAGACCACCATGATTGTCGCCGTCGAAGTAGACCGCACGGTTCCCAAGACCATCATGACTGTCGGAACCCTCCGCAGTCAGGTCTCATTCGATGTCATGCACTTGATGTGCGACATCGTTTTGGGAACACCCTGGCTGGACCACTACATGCCATACGCGTTCCACCCCAACTTCTTCCGCCTTACCAATCCCCCCGACATGCCCATCGACATCCCCTATTTCCCCCACCCTACGTACCAAAACTCCGTCACTCACCACCAATTTCTCCACATGGCCCGTCAAAACCTCAGACTCCACCTACTATTGTCTTGTCCTTGATCGCAAACGCCTTGAGGACCTGCTCCCTACGGACAAACCCGATCAAGCCCCCCCCTCCGACCCCGCCCTCACCTCCATCCTCGACGAGTTCAAGGACGTCTTTCCCGAGTCCTTGCCTACCGGATTTCACCCATATCGTGGTGTATCTCATGCCATTGATCAGGAACCCGACCACTCTCCGCCATGCCGCCCTCCATACCAATTCTTCGTCCCGGAAGCGCAAGCGTAGAATACCTTGGCCACATCGTCTCTGCTGAAGGTATCTGCATGGACCCCTCGAAGGTCACCGCCCTCGTTGAGTATCCCCCGCCCAAGACCCTACTCCAACTCCGCTCATTCCTCGGCCTTGCCAACTATTATAGCCCCTTCATCCGCAACTTCTCCGACGTCTCTTACCCACTCCACAAACTCACACGCAAGGACGAGCCCTTCAATTGGAACGACCGCCACTAAAACGCCTTCGACTTCCTCAAACAAACCATCACCACGGCCCCCGTCCACAAGATCACCGACCCCTCTCGACATTTCTACATTACCACTGACGCATTCGACTTCGTCATTGGAGCCGTCCTCTCGCAACATTTTCCTCGCGACACCTCTGAAGCCCCCTCCATCAAAGACTCCCCCACCCACCCGGAGGCCCCACCCGGTGAATACCCCATCGCCTTSGCAAGCAAGAAGCTCCTTCCCGCGGAGATGGATTACCCCTCCGACGAGAAGGAACTCCTCGCCGTAATCCATGCCCTCCAAGTCTGGCGCCCGTACCTCAACTGGCAATACTTCACCATTCGCACCGACAACACCATCGTCTCCTCCATTCTCACCAAGAAAGACATCACGACCCGCCAAGCCCGCTGGTTAGACTTTCTTGCCCAATTCACATTTACCATTTGCCACACTCCCGACAAAAGCAACCGCATTGCCGATGCCCTCTCCAGATGCCCCGACCACAAGCCCCCTGAGAAAGTCTACGCCTCCATGACCCACATTAAGCTCCTCCCATCGCTCCATCACCAATATACACAAGGCTACCTCTCATGCCCCGACTTCTCCACCGCCTACAAAGAGCTTCGTGACCTCGACCCTGTCCCTGACTACTCCCTCTACGACAATCTTCTCTACATCGACACCAAAGGCACTCGCCGATTTTGCAGCCCCGATGCACGCGGAGATCTCGGGTTCCAGAAAACCTCTGACACCATCTCCCGTTACTTTCACTGGCCTTCCCTACTCGCCGACGTCAAAGCTTACATTTTCTCATGCCCCACATGCCAAGCCGCCAACCCTTCGGACCGGGCCAAAACCCGACAAGTTACAGTCATTGCCTATTCCCACTCACCGGTGGCAGTCCATTTCTATGGACTTCGTGTGGGGTTTACCTAAGACCGACCGTGGCCATGACTGCATCTATGTCATCGCCTGTCGCTTGACTAAACGCGCACACTTCATCCCTTGCACTACGTCGCACAACGCCAAAGACGTCACCACTCTCTTCTTTGATCATGTCGCACTCCATCACGGCCTCCCCGAGAACATCATCAGTGACCGTCATCCCCGCTTCCTCTCACAATTTTGGAAACACCTCTTCAAAGCATATGGAACCAAGCTCAAGGATAGCACTGCATTCCACCCCCAGACTGGTTGACAAACCGAGAAGATGAATGATACTCTCCAAAGAATCCTGCGGAAGTATTATCATCCACACCAACACGATCGGGACCAGTTGCTCACAACCGCCAAGATCGTCCACAACAACGCCGTCTGTCCCTCCACTGGCACGTCCCTATTCTACCTCGACCTTGGCTACCATCCTCGCTTGCCTCTGACTTTTTGCTTCCTTCTCAACTTAACCCCCTCCACCCCTGCCCTTCTCTCAATGAATGGTTAGCAACAATGAATGGACTTCGAGAAGCCACCGAAGCCCTTGAACGAACACAAGAACAACAAGTCAACAAGAGCAACAAACGCAGACGTGACGTAACATTCAAAGTAGGGGACAAAGTCTGGCTCTCTGCCAAACGCTTTGAACCCGAACACGGCTTGTCCAAGAAACTCTCGAACAAGTGGCTCGGACCCTTCCCCATCATTGAACAAACCTCCCCCGTCAATTACAACTTACAAGCTCTAACTGCAATCAGACTCGTTCTCAAACACACTCTTCATGCATGTAAACAGCAACGCAGCATACTGGCGACATGCGCCCACTCAAAACTCGGAGATATGGCTTTCAGATACGAGTTCACTCTCAATTGGCTATGGCGACTTCAGCGCCCAAACATCTCACTGTTCACATACAYTGGATCACCCTGGATATCCCACAAGCATCACTCTAACACTCGAACACACACACACACGCTCGCTACTAACTACACCTATGGCAGCTATCGCTGCATCTAACCTATCGCTATGCTAACTCCCTCTCTCTTGCCCACTGCGYCCTCCGGGCTCATCTGCAGACCTCCTTGCACAAGTCGCTGTGGCAGCGCTTCCGCATGGCTCACGCAGGAATGAATGAATGGCTGGGCGCTGCCCCTTGATTTATACTTCAGAAACTCGTTGGTCTGCCCTTTGCCATAGGCCCATGGTGCTCACAGTCCCCCTGTGGTACTCGTTGGACCGGATTGGGACTGACTGGACCTTCCACTGACTGACTGTGGACTCACCGCTATCCTACCGACGTTGTACTGCTGTTGCACTGCGGTTTAGTCCACCACTTGCCTCGCCACTTGACCACTTGCCCAATTGCCTACCTTCTAGAAGGTCTACAGGTAAGCTTCCCGAACTCACTAAGACTTCTACGCTATAGACCTACAGATCGAACCCCTGCTGCCTATGGACCTACGATAGACCTACCAACTGTCTGCGAATACACAGGTCACAGGTTCAATTCTCGAGATCTATGCAGATACTGTACATAGGTAGGGTGAGGTCTAGGGATCGAACCCTGGGTACTGCATCCGCTACTGCTAAAAGGTGAAAACCGTTTCACTCCCGCTGTTCTAAATTCGAGGTCCTCCGAGAACATTTCAGTCCAAGGCGGGACCTTTACCTTTCTTGTCACGTTCATAGGCTCTGACTATGTCGGGAGCGGTTTCTAGAAGTTCTGTTTTCGTGAACCAGCGGTCGTCTTCCGGTTCTTGATAGGCAAAACGGACCTTATATTGTTTCTGGGGACGACCTCTACCTCCTGTTCTGAACACATCCTCATCTGCAATGCCGTCAATGTCATAACTTCCATCCATATCCGGGGGGATCATGGATCTTCTCGAAGGGAACTATTGACTTGTGACACACGGCAGCAACTTTAAAGCATGAAACACAGGRTATGTGTGGAGGTGTGCTGGAATCTCAATGCTATAGGACGGTCCATCCTCTCCACCCTTGACTTCTAGAACTGCCCACGGTCCTCTATATGCGGGCAGTAACTTCTGCGAGATGTTTTCCTCAGGTGCAAACTCTTTAGCCTTGACCCAGACTAAGTCGCCTACCTGAAACTGCGACGGGCGACGATGCTTATTAACTTTCTCTATCATCCTATGCTGGTCCTTCTTGAGGTTTTCAACAAGTGTTGCTAGTTCTTTCTCGTGCAGTATCGCAAACTCCCTGGTACCGGGCGGTAATCTGTGAATCTGATCCCGGTTCAGTCCTTCGAACGGTCTGCGTGGTCTAAAGGACTTGTGCAACTCATTGGGAGTGTTGCAGGTGGATAGATGCACGCTGTTGTTGTATGCACTAGCTACCTTAGGCAACATCTCATCCCAGTTAATCTGATCTGGTCTAATGTACATGCGCAGAACTTGCTGTAGGATCTTGTTCATCTGTTCTGTCTGACCGTTGGTCTCTGGGTGACGGCCAGATGACATTAGCAATTTAGATCCGTAAACTCTCATGAGTTCTTGCCAGTTCTGGCTGGTGAAACGACTATCTCTATCACTAACTATTGACAATGGTATTCCATTCTCACTAACCCAAAAGTCAAAAAACTTCTGTATAACTAAGTCCGAACGTGCCTCTGCAGGCAAAGGAACGAAAACTGCATATTTGCTAAAACGGTCAACTACGACCATGACTTGGCTCTTACCATGTCTACTCTTGACTTGGGTGTCCATGAAGTCTATGGACACGGAGTCTCCCGGCTGATCCAGAATAGGCAAGGGTCTGAGAAGACCTAGGGGCGCGCGTGTAGTAGACTTATTCCTCTGGCACACTTTACAACTGCTGACATACTCTATGCAGTCATTCTTCATCCCTGGCCAGGTATACGCACGCATCAGATTGGCTAATGTCTTTTGCCAACCGAAATGCCCTTCAGTATCGTGGCATTCCCCTAAAATCAAACTGCGGATCTCTTCGTTGTTGGGAACGCACAGGCGGTCAAACACATTAGTCTTCTCAAACAGCAACCCGTATGTAGTGCGGTAATCTGGTTCAGTCTCTAGGGCCTCTCTAACTCTTTTTAGGAGGTCGCTATAGATAGGGTCATGTGCATACACTTGCTTCACTTTCTCTTGCAGGTCTCTCCCTATATCCAGATAGTGTACTACGGCTCCAAAGTAGTCTGATCTCCTACTTAGAGCATCCGCACCTACGTTGTACTTGCCCTTCATTGGCTTGAGCTCAAAGTCGAATTGGTCTATCTCTGCGGCCCACCTAGTCAACTTAGGTGTCATCTTGGCCCGAGTCTTTAACCATCTAAGCGTTTCGTGGTCCGAATACACTTTGAAGTGCCTCCCAAGCAGGTAGTGCTTCCAATGGTCTAAAGTCTGCCTGAGAGCGTAGAGTTCTCTCTCATACGTGGAGTTAGCGACCTTTTCACAGGGCATCCTTGCTGACATGAACTCTACGGGTCTATAACCATTGTCGTCATCTTGCTGCAACACAGCGCCTATCCCATACTGACTCGCGTCCGTGGTGACGACAAATCGCAAAGACGGATCTGCAACTTTGAGGACAGGATACTCTATTAACGCGCGCTTTAGCTTCTTGAGCGCGGACGTACAGTCTTTGTCCCATTGCCAGATTGCCTCTTTCTTCAGCAATCGGCGCAAGGGAGCGGTGATAGTGGAGAAGTTCCTCACGAACTTCCTATAGTAGTTAGCTAAGCCTAGAAACGACCGCAACTCTATTAATGTGCGGGGCGTCGGTCAGTCTCTAATCGCCGCGATCTCATCTCCGTCTAATACGTGGCCCAAGTACAAGACTTGCGTCTTGGCCCACTTGCACTTCTTCGCGTTGATCTTGAAGTTAGCCTTTCTAAGCTTCTCCAAGACCTGCCTCAGATGACCCTGGTGCTCCTGGAGGGTCTTACTAAAAACTAGGATATCATCTAAGTAGACTACTACAAATTTATCTAACCATGGTCTAAACAGGTCATTCATACAACGCTGAAAAGTTGCTGGTGCGTTGGTTAGTCCAAAGGGACTCACTATAAACTCATAATGCCCATATCTAGTCCGGAAGGCAGTCTTGTACTGATCATCAGGATGGAATTCTATCTGATGGTATCCGGACTTCAAGTCTATTTTGGAGAAATACTTGCAACCCTGCACCCGATCTAAGAGATCGTCTATCCTGGGCAGTGGCTCAACATTCTTTACAGTAATCGCGTTCAAACCCCTATAGTCTATACACATACGAAGTTCTCCCTCCTTCTTGGGGACAAATAAGACTGGTGCTCCGAAAGGAGACGAACTGGGCCTGATCCAACCCTTCTCAAGGAGTTCGTCTAACTGCTTGCGAAGCTCCTCTAACTCTCTAGGGGACATCCTGTAGACTGCACCCTTAGGAGTCCTTACTGCCAGGCTCTATCTCTATCCGGTGCTGGATGGGTCACGACACTACCCCTGTCGGCGACTCAGTCAGGTCTTTGAACTCTTCCAGCAACTTGGCTATGGTTGGATCCGTGGAAGCCACCTCTTCCTTGCCCTCGGTGACAGGTCTAACATACACTACAAAGACCTGTTCCTCTAACTTCTCCTTTTTGACTAATCACGCGAACGTGGGAGCACTGAGACAACAATGTGCCAAGGTGTTGTCTACACCAGACACATGGAACAAGCGGGCAGTCTTAACCTCGCTTGACGGACTGGGGAGCCTACACTCATGCTCTCTCAAATGGAGTGTGGCCCCTGCTGCCTCTCCCCAATCCATTCCTAACACTATATCGAAAGGAAGGTCATCCTATACGAGGATAGTCAAAGAATGGAGGACTTTCTCCACTTTTCCATTCTTCTCTAGGTGAAAGTACGCCTGGACTCCCTCTACGTAGTCCTCAATGCGCATCGTGCGGTTGTCTGCGAGGACACTGACTATGGGGTCTACTAGCTTCTGGACCTTTAGTCCTAGCCTCAGCTTCTTCAGCGCCCTACGGCTAATGTAACTACGGGTAGCCCCTGAGTCTATAAGGGCCCCTACCCTACTTCTGAACACCTCTACATCTACCAAAACCAGCTGTCCCTTACTCTCCCTTTTCATTTTGGCCCAGGCTGGCATCCTCTCCTTTAACTCTTCCGCCACACCTGTGAGGGACGTGACTAAAGAGACGCTAACACAAGCAGTCTCTGGACAGCTATCTAGGCACCGGCCTGCAACCTCTGCCATAGGCTCATGTGGGTTGGGAGTGTCCTGTTCGCGCGCGCTCACTTCTCCACATGGCCTGGAAGTAGGGGCAGTTGCGACCCCTACTGGCGACTGCCTTTTGACTGCTGAGCAGCCCAACGGCCCTGTCTATACTTTGGACAAAATTTAATTACGTGCGCCGGGTCACCACAGAATACGCATTGACCCATGTTCACGCGTTCCTGCCATAATCGCTGGTCTAAGCCCATGTCTTCCCAGGGCTTGCCCTGTGGCAAGCCTGGGTGCCAACCTCCTTGAGGTGCCCTTCCACCTCCTCGCTGTGGGGACCGAGTACCCTGGCGATTTAACGGGGGACCTTGACCCCTACCTCCCGCTTGGCGGTTTCCTTGTCCGCCAACCCCCTGTGCGCCCGGCCCACGGCCTCCCATGGCCTGGCCCCTTTGGCCCTGGCCTCCTCCTCTACCTTGCGGCTTCTCTCCAGCCGCGACAGCAGCATAGGACCTCCCTTGCCCCACACTACTGCCATCATCCTCGAGGCCCTACTCTATCTGACTGTATGGGACCTCATCAGTACCACCTTCCTCTAAGGTAAGGATCATATGATCCTTGGCCTTGACTTGGTCGGAGATGGTACGCCCTTTCCACCCTTTTCCCTTCTCCAGGTCCTTGTGCCAGAAGGTGGTAACTGGCATGGAGTTTGACTTATACAGGACGACTTCCCTTCTCAATGCATCATATGTGATGCCGACCTGTTGAGACTTGTCAAAGAAATGCCCACGCAGGGCCTCTGGTATGGCAGGATAAAACAATTGGACCAACTGGGTCTCAGTGACCCCATGGTCCGGGACGGCCACTAAGTCGTCCATGGTGCCCTGAGTGCCCTAGCACTCCTCCACTGCCGTGAGTGGATCGTTTGGAGCTTGTCAGAGGCTCTAATGCCTCGCGTTGGGTCAGCGAAACGCTCCTTGAGGAGCTTGAGGAATTGGGAAAGAGGGGTGACTTTGGAATATGCAGCCAGGTTGTTTTCACAACCGACTGTACGCACGAGTGACCTGGCGAAGCTAGCCGCTTCGTCCTTCAGGGCCTGGAAGGCCACGAGGACTTGTTCCTCATTCAGGATGTGCTGTAAGTAAATATAACTATTGACACTGGCTTCCCAGTTGTCAAAGTTTTCTTCCTTCTTTCCCCCGTACGCATCTGGGAACTTAAGTTTCACTGGGTCCTTACGGGGTCTGGCCTCTCCCTCTACAACGGCTACAGCTTCGGCACCCTGAATGGCGCCCTCACAAAACTTCCCTACATTGTCTCTCAATTGCTTGACTTCGCCCCCAATATGGGTGACAATCTCGCGCGCAAAGTCTCTAAACCCTGACCGCGTGGCACTCAAGGCTACATCTTGGCTCCAGCTAGCCTGGCGCTCTTCCATCCATGCCTTGCTCAACACTTCCAGGTACCCCAATACCTTGTCCCACTTGGCCTTATCATCCGGCTGGGCCAACACCTCCTGCCTGCACGCTTGCACCTTCGCTACCTCTGCAGTCATTTTACTCACTTCCTCTCTGCTCCTCTTCTTCTCTCGCTTCATCCTCAACTTCCATGCCAATTTCTGCTCCTCCTCCCTTTCTCGCCTTTCCATCGGATCTGTCATTGTTGCTAGCTCACTGACTAGCGCAGCCCTCTCATCATTAGTCACATAGGACTCTGCCTCCTCCTCTTCACCCAACGATAAATTAACGACCCACTCGCTGATCTTCTTCTCCATCTCAATATCTGTCTTCCCCTTCATTGTGCCACCACTGCTTCCTTCTCCACTCTCAATCCTCATTCTCTCTTTCTCTTCTTCTGCTGCCGCTTCTGCTCAGCAGCTTTTCTTCTTTCTTCCTCCTCTTGTTGTACTCTCTTCATCTCCTCTTCCAATCTCTTCATCTTCGCCGCCTGTTCGTCTGCGATAGCCTTTAGCTTCGCTTGCTTCTCACACTCTTTTCTCTCCCTGTTCTCTTGGACTAAGGAGGCCATCTTTTTTGCTGCTCCTTACTATAGGGGCTAGTCTCTAACCCACTACGGGTCCCAACCATGGTGATAAGTGTACAACCGGGTTAGTGGTTCCAGACCTCACCACGTAGACTCTGACCCCTGACTGACAAACCTATAGACTCAATCTAAGAACCCACAGAATCCTGACAAGGACCCTGTCAACTATGGTCTATAGCCTAGACCTATGCTATGGTTGTCACTACTGAACCAGTGGCTGATCAGGACGCATTTAAGGAGATCTCCCGTAACTCCTCAAGAATTCTTTAACGTCGCAGACAGGACGACGTGATCAGCTTGGTTCTGCCTGTGCTTTCAGCCCACAACTCAGCCTTTCCGGCCTACTGTGCCACTCCGAGCAGCCCGCCGGTCTATACCGGTCCTTGGGAGGGTTTGACCTCCGGGACAGTCGAGTCGTCAGACACAGATCCTCAGCCTTACTTGGTCCGGTAGGGGAGTGGTTCAAACAGGCCCTCAACACTTAAAGACTGCCTGGTGTGTCAGCCCTAACTATCGTTCAGGCCCACTGAGTCCTACCAACCGTTTCCAGCCGGTCAGCACCGGTCCTTGGGAGGGTTATGCCCCCCTAGAAAGTTGGATCAGCCACAGCCTTAGCCCTACAAGGTCAGACTAAGGTTTCGTCATCCAAGCCCTATCCTTCATCCACAGAGTACTATGACGTAGGACAGAAGAGACTCAATGCAGAAAGAATAGACAGACTGACTCAGCCTCAGCAAGTACCAAGGGATATGTGCACATCCATAGGGCAAGGGGTAGGCTAAGGGCTTGGCGAGATGTTACCAACTCCAGCTTGGTCAAAGTCTTGGTCAACGGTCTTGGTCAACGCCGGTCAACTCTGCGGTCAACCCTCGGTCAACCCCCGGTCAACTCTGGTAACGCCGGTCAACGCCTCCGGTCAACCCTCTCGGTCAACTCCCCGGTCAGCTATGGCTGCCGGCTCTTCTTCCTCGCCAATCCCCTTCTTCTTCTTTACCT